AGCTCCTCCAGAGCCCGGTTGATCCCTTCAGGGCTCAATTGAGCTCTGCTTTTCTCAAGAAATCTCCTGTCTACCCCGCCTACCCATTACCACTCTCATAACCTCCCATGTTTTTCAGTGTTGTTGTTTTGTTTTGTTTCGTGGAGACGAGGTATGTAGCCCAGGCTGGCCTTGCTGAATTGCCCAGGATGGCCTGAAATTTGGGATCAGTCTCCTGAGTGCTGGGGTTGCAGGAGTACGCCCACCTTGTTCTGTTTCTTAAATCCCCCAACACGACTCTAACTAAATAAATACTTGGGTACTTCGTTACTTCATGTCCTCCCTCCCCGCCCCTCAAGTCAGGGGCTTCTTTCCCCTTGACCCCAGTCTGTCTCACTTCCCTGGCAGCCCCTGGTGCACAGTGGATGCTTGACACATATTTTATGAATGGGTACTGTTTTTTAGGGATCAGGATATGGCAGCAGAAGCTACTAAAGAAATTACATGTAGTAAAGAAAGAAAAACTTACTGGAAAAGTAATTTCTGAGCTAAGGATGAGCCTGAGTATGAACACAGCAGTAGCGGTTGGGCTAGGAGGCCCTGACCAGTAGAGGGAATGACCGACAAAGGTAGGAAGTGCAGGCCGCACCCATTCTGTGTCCACTGTGGGACGCGGGAAATGTGTAAGCCACGCACAGGGAACATCCTTAGCCCTGCGATGTTTCACTTTGTGATGTGGCATCATCTTCATCGCCGTGCTCTCCACTCTGGGAGGGCGCTCAGAGTGCCGACCACTCTGAGCCCAACACCCACAGGTTTTGTGGCTGTCTGTGACCTTGGCAGTCCATTCCTGGTGGCTTTGGTTTGCTCTCAGGCTTGCTCACCACTAGCCCAGCTCTGCACCCTGCAGCTTCGTTCCATGAGCTGCAGGAGGGAGTGCTCCTGTCTCTCTGCAGTCTCCCCTTCTGACACTGCCAGCACTGCTGCCGGATGTCCTGTGGATGCCCAGCCCAGCTGGGGCCCAGTTTGTGCGGAGGGTGACTGGCAGTTCTTTGTGCCACTGTGGGACTCAGAGAACTCACTGCCCTAGGAACAGATGCTCACCTCAAGGACCCTTGCCTAAAGCTTGTGGGTAGAGGAGGCAAAGGGGTACTCACCCCAAACTTAAGCTAAAGGAGGAAACTCACCATCATTTCTTAGCTGCCCCTCCTCCTTCCTGGGCCCAGACCCAGGGGGAATTACTATGGGCAGCTGGCTTTATCCACTTAGTGTTACAGGCAAAACCAAAAAGAAGTGAGAATCATTCTTTTATATGAGGTGACATGCAGTACAGTGACTTTCAGCAAGATGCAGTGTGTGGCCGCAGTGACCCTTTCAAGGGCAAAATCTGCGTGACAGGTTCTATTGTTAAATATACCCAAAGTTAGTACGTGTTCAGCGGTGGGAGAATTTGTTTTTGTTTTGTCTTTTAGTCTTTTGAGAGGATCCTATTTAGTTGGTCCACATCTTATCTTTCAGAGTACAAATTACCATTTGTACCAGTCAGCTTGTTTGGCATTTACCCCCTGATTCTGTTGGTTACCCTGGCTGACATTGCCCTACTAATGGAGAAAAAGCAAATCTGTAGTCTAGATAGTCACATTTCTTTTTGTTTTTATATATATATGCATCACATGATTTGTCTACCTTACTGTTTTGCAGTAGATATTTTCTTAAAAGTTGGTTGCAAATTGAATTTTTAAGCATCAAATCCCAGTAGCTGCAGAAACATATCAGATAAACTTTATCTTCCTTTCTAATTAAGCAGCACCAGACAGTGATTCCTGGCTCTCCAGCATTCACTTTCTTTTCTCTGCTTCTTTTTGTCAAGTATTTGCTTTGTAAGTAAGTAACAGGTAACGTTCCAGTGAGGCCTACTGTTTAAAGGAAGCCTGCAGTGAATTCTTTTACAGGGTTGGATTTTACTAGTATTCATTTTCCTAAACTATAAAGTGCCTACGCCTAGAGGTGTTTCAGGTAAAGCTAAGGACAGATCTTGTGTTGGTAGCCCAGTGCCAGGCATCACTCTGTATAGATCTAACTCAAAAAAAGAATTCAAAGAAGATATTAGAGAAATTATACAAATACTAGTTAAAATAGTTACCCAGTTGTGGATACTTTGCATTCCTTACAATTTTTATTAGGATACAGAATCACATTTTTTAAATCACAAATGTAGAGAAAAGCTGGGAAAAGAACAGAGAATAATCAGAGCTTATATAATCATGATTTTCTGCCAAGGGCTGTCAACTCATGTTATATATCAGACAGTCCTAGGGGATACCATTGTTATTCCCATTTTACAGCTGGCAAGATTGAAGTACACAGAAGGCAAGTGAGTTGCCCAAGATCACAGAACTTGGATTTGAGAGTGCTGGAATCCAAATCTAAGCAATCTGATTCTAGGTTCCACAACAGAAGGCATCAAATAAAGACCTTGAACAGAGTCAGTCTTACAATTCTAATTTTATATTTGGATGGATTCCAATTTATCACTTACCTTTTTTGATATTCTCCGCTTTTTGTACCTATTTTAAGAAACCTTAACTCAGGGTCACTAGGATTTTCTCCTATTTTCCTGTAGGAGTTTTATGCTTTTAGCTTTTGCAGTTAGGTCTGTGATCCATCCCAGGTTAATTTTTGTATTGGTGTGAGGTACAAGTAGAGGTTCATCTTTTTAAAATGCATATCCAATTGTTCCAGCTCCATTTGTTGAAAAACTTATCATTTCTCCATTGATTTGTCTGGCATTTCTTAAATGGCTATTCAGTGACACTGTTACGACTTACTGGCTTTATTTCTGTGTAGTTCAAATGTGCTGTTATAATCTGTTACTCTTAATATTAGTTTGATTATTGCTATTATATAGAAATGTAATTGATATTTATATTCTGACCTTGTATTATCAGACACTGCTAAACTGATATACTAGTTCTAGTAACTTTTTACATTCCATAAAATTTTCTTCCTTGATAACCATGTCTTTGAATAAAGACAATTTTACTACTTCCTTCTTATCTGTAAGCATTTTATTTTTTCTTGTTTTTTCTACTTTTTAAAAATACTTTATTATAATGACCAAGATCTTACATACGTTATTGAAGCAAAGTAGTAAATTTGGGTGTCGTTGCCTTGTTTTTAATCTTAGGGAGAAATCATTGAATCTCTAAATGCTTGGCTAAAGGTAGGCATTTCATTAATACCTTTTATCAGTAGGAAAATAATAAGCTTTTATTCCTGTCTCTCCTTGATCATTTTGTCATGATCGGTTACTGAATTTTGTCACACTTTTTTTCTGTATCCAGGGCTTATACGGTGAATTGCCATTGATTGGTTGACTTTCAAATATTACAACTTTCCATTCCCAGAATATATTTTGTAAGATTTGTTTTGGTAAAATTTTATAAGAATCTGTACATCTTTCGTGAAGAATACCAGTCTGTAATTCTCTTATCTTATACTGTCTTTGGCATCGAGATAATACTGGCCTCCTAATAAGTTATGCTTCCTGTTCTATTTTCTGGGAAACTTTCTTCTATAAATGCTTGAAAAGATTCACTAGTAAAGCCATCTGGTTGTAGAATTTTCCCTGCAGGAAGACTTCTAACTAGATTCACTTTCTTCTGTAAATGTAAAGTTCTCTCAGCAATTTAAATTCCAACTGAAGCACCAGTTAGTAGCAGCCTCACTCTACCTACCTGACCCTCACTTGTCTTCTAAAATAAACAGGAACCTACCTAGATTTATTGTTTTTAGGATTTGAGGTTATAATCTATGTGAAGTGTGTGGGTTTGTTTGTGGCTAGCCTTTTAGTTTTCACTTGCAAAGATGAACAATGAAAAACTAACCTGAAAGGCAGAGTCCAAAGTGGAGACACAGAAAACAGAGGTGTGAAAGAAAAAGAGAATTGCCCCAATACCCTCAGATTATCTCTGATAGCCCCAGGGAGAGAAGATAATGCATCCATCAAACAAGAATGGGAAGCTGTGAAAAGAGAACAGTCAGAGAAATAAACAGGAATGTCTGCAGACTGAAAATGCAAAGCCTGTGGTTATTAATTTATTGAGAATTTAAAGATAGCAGTAGAGCACTTAACCAAAGTATAATACCTTTCTGAGCCCAGAGATTTGTGTCATTACACAGGTTACATACATCCATGACACTCTGCTGAGAGGAAGAAATCTCTTGGAAATGAAATATAAGGTAGCAAAATAGGAAAACTGAACAGAAGAGTTGAAAGATAAAGGAAATCAATCACCCAGAAAATTGTACAAAAGGGTGGGAAAATATTCAAGAAATATAAAAGTTAATCAAAGAGATTCACAACATAAATATATTTGATACCTCAGACAGAGGACAGAAAAAAATAGACAGAAGCACATATCAATAATTCAAGGCAAGTTCCCAAACTGAAAGTCCTGAGTTTATAGATTGGTATGAAAGCACTTGGTATGAAATGTTGAACTCCCATGAATAAAGATAATTTCTCAACAGCTTTAGAGACAGAAGAACAAAGCAAGAATCTGGTCACATACAGGGATTCGGGGGTCAGAATGAGAGTAAAGCCACAACGTGTACTTAACCAGAAATTGTGGCGTAACTATGTTCAGAGACAGGGAAAAGGGAAGGAGATAAAAAGCTGAACCCTCATCTGTGATGGTAAGAAGGTAGTAGATCGGCTGCCTTAATGTGAATCAGGAGATAGCAAGAGCAACATTTGATTTAGAAATTTGGAGCTAAAACAAACATTTGGAAATAACAACAAAATCTATTTCAATTGAAAAAGTAAGAGGCCTCTGGAATGCAGGCATCACAGTCTTTGGGAAAGGACCTACTGTTTTTTAATTATCAACCTTGCAGCGCCCGTACTCCTGTGTTAAAAATCTAACAATTAAAACGGAGTTAAAAAGTAGATGAGGATTCACCAGAGGTTTGCGTGGGACTCTGAACAGCTGTGACACTAATGATTCTTCTCTCTCCAGATTCCCGGTACATTCTCCTGCCAGTCGTGTTACATCACCTCCACATTCACTTGCAAGAACAGAAGGACTTGATCATGTGTGCGCGTATCCTTAGCAACGTATTTTGTCTCATCAAGAAAAACAGCTCGGTAAGTAAATACAGGTCATAGTACATAGTTCTCAGCCAATGGCTTCTGCAAAGAAAATTTTAAACACCTTCAGGAAAACCACACTCAGGAGGAACCTTGTGAGACTCACTGTTGTTTGCAGCTGGGCTAGACGTTCTGCTTTTTCTTGGAAGCAATCTTAACCTCGTGGGATTGCTATAACCCTGAATAACCTGGGTCTCCTAAACTTGTATTTCAAGGAAGAACTGAATACCAAGTGAGGAAACAAGAACCCCCCCGAAGCCTCCCACTTGTGTCTTTAATCTTGCTATGATGGAGGCTCTGGAGCAGGGAGAGATGACTGCTTGTGAAGTTGCTGGGGCCTTTCTGTGAAGAGCTGCACAGTGATGCCCAAGAGCTCAGCCCTGTCCCCTGGGCCTCGTCCTGTGGAGATTGTGGAAGCAAGAGACAGACCCTGGAAATGAAGGGGGTCTTGCAATTTAACCGTGACTCAGCCCCATCCGTAATATCTAAATTGTTGTGGCTTTGGGGCTTCCTTTCAATGTGCATGACTCTTGGTGCAGTGCAGACCTGTTAGAAGGTGCACTGCAAAATAAGGAAAATGATGTGCTTGCTGGTATATGGGACACCTCATGGTGCATTCTCAAGTTCCTAGCTGGAGGCCTGCTGTAAAACCCACTCGGATGTCTTATTCCGGTTCTTTCAATCTGTAGCTGTTAATTAAACATTCTGCTCATTGGGAACAGTTTAGCAGTGAGTGCTGAGATTCCCATTTCTCTGCTTCTCAGTTACCTCCATGCTGTAGTTTCCCCACTTTCGTCCCTGTTGTGACCAGCTTCTGAAGAGCTGCAATGGGACCCCAGGGGAGGGCAAAGTGAGTTGGCATTTGAGAGAAGGAGGCTAGCAGCTCTGCACCTACTTGTCGTAAGTGAGACCTCCATGGAAAGGAGAGTTTGGTGTGACCCACCCCATGACCAGGCCTCAGAGATGGTCTGAAACTGGGCATAGCACTGTTGACAGGGAGAAGCCATTTGTTCCGTTTTAATACTCCCTCCCTACACGGCAACAACACACAGCTAAGCCAGCCTGGTTAGAATGTGTTTCCAAATTACAATTGCTGTATGTGAAAAGTAAGCTGGGGAGGAGGAGAAATAAAAAGTGTTAAGATGTGTTATATATACACGTGTACCAGTTTCCCATGGATGAATGTAATCCTTACGTACTGCAAACATGTTAATAATAAAAAGAAAGTTAAAGGAGAAAAAACGTGAGCTAGATTGTTGACTACATAAAACCAAGTGTCAGTGGTAAGGGAGGCGAGTTCTTTGTATTTCTCCTTGTCTACTTCAATTTAAAAGCTGTAGTCAGATTTTGGGTTTAGCAGATTAGGAATTCAGGCAAAAATCATTTCACTGGAGGGAGAACCTCTGTAGTTTTTTTGTCAGTGTAAGAAAGTTTATCATAAAGTTATAGTCAGAAGGTTCTTTTGAACTCTCAGTTTCTAAAAGTACTCTTTGCAAAGAGCAATCTTCTTGGTAGGGAATATTTTTACAGCGTTTTATGTGCTGCAGATGTAATAGGAACCCGTATTCTGGACATACAGTCAGTGCAGAGCAGTTTGAGTTCCCTTCGCGTGTCCTGGAGGCTTGGACGGCCCTAGCTGTGCTTCAAGAAAGCAATCCTGCCGCAGCCACAGAGCCAAACACCATAGCTAAGGTTGTAGTCTAGACTGGTGGCTGTTTCCTAATGTTTACATGCAGGATTTTTAAAAAATCATTTTATAGGAATAATCCTTTGCACATAGCATTTTGGGAAATGACCTGTATGACTCCAGTGCTGAGAAAAGTAAATGTAAGCACAGTTAGGAATCAAGGAAATTCAGACTTTAAGAGCCAGAAGAAACCTTCAGGAAGGAGTCGGGCTAAGAGGTGAACTGCCTGACCCGGGGTCACATGCCTGGTGAGGGGCACAGCTGGCATTCTGGATTAGTCAGCCTTGCTCTCCTTGGCGTCCTCCTGCCTTTTTATCTGTATCTCCTTTGTCAATGACACAGCCAAGTGGTGAGTCTTGGGCAAGCTGGTAGCTTCTCTGAGCCTTTGTTCCCCGTAAGGTTGTCAGTCACTTAGGTGATGACCAATATCTCAGAGTCTTTGGTTCTGTATTTGAAAATGGACTTTTTCCTTTGCCATTAAAGAGAGATTAAAGTACATATGAAGCCAGAATTTCCTGCATACATTATTTTTTTCTCTTAAGGAAAAATCTGTGTTGGAGGAGATAGATGTGATAGTGGCCAGCCTTCTGGACATCCTGCTGAGGACCATCCTGGAGATCACCAGTCGACCTCAGCCATCCAGCTCTGCCCTGCGGCTCCAGTTCCAGGACGTCACTGTAAGATCATAAAGCAAGGGGCACACAGAGCAGGGCCTTGCATTTTCTTAAAGCTTCAGTGGCTTTGGGGTGGGCTGCCGTAAGAGTCAAAAATCAGGCCCCAGGACAATGATCTATGAGCACTTCACCTCTAAGTGAGGTTGTCTTCAATTTTGGAGAAAACGAGGACAGGCGGCCTGTTTGTTCAAGGACCTTGCCATCAGCAGCTTTTAATTTCAGAAACCCAATTTTGACATTAGTTCTTACTTTGCCCAATTTGATCGATGACTTTATATCTCTAGTCAACCTGGTAACTTTCCATTCTCATTTCAACTATCAAGCCGTCTGAAGAACTAAGAATAGTGGAATAGAGTAGTGGGAGCCGGAGGCCCTGAGTTCTCCTTCTAGTCGGGATCTTCCCTCTTCTGGGCTTCAGAGTCCTCAGCTATGAAATGAAAAGTTCTCTCTGGTACATTCGAAGGGGCTTTCAGGATCCCCTGTCTTAGGAGTTCAGTAAAACATGATTCATGTAAAATATTAAGAAGTAATATTACTGATAGTTTTACATATGCACCCATATATTTATAGATGAGTATATACATGCATTGTATTTATTTCTGTAGTGCTGGGGCCTTGTGCACATTAGGAAAGCCTTCTAGTACTGATCTTACACATAATATTACAGGTCATTACACACGTTTCTTTTTAAAATTAATATTCAGTTGATCTCAAAGCACTCTTATGCCGTTATTAAGAATATTCTTCCAAGTAAGTAGTATCATTTTCAGAAATGGCAGTAGATGCTGAAGTTTTTATGTATAAATTATTTACAAAAGTGTTGACCTTTGGCCATCAGTTTTATCAATACTGTTCTATGGATCTGCATTTTAAAGGATGTTTTCCTAGGCCCTGCTGAAAATAATCTTTACTTTTATATAAGAAATAAGTCTCTGGTGGCTTTCCTGCTGAGGCCAGCTGTTATATGATCCAGCTGGTAATGCAGTTAATTTGTTTTGAGCACTGAGATTTACTTGAAGGAACTGAACTCTGGTTTGGAGAAGTAAAGTCAAACTCCTTAGTAAACTCTTTAAAACAATACCAAAAAGCTTCCTATGTAGTAGCTGCGCTACCTCATTTAAAGAAAAGTACATTAGAACTTCTCTTTAGGGGCTGGGGATTTAGCTCAGCGGCACAGGGCCTGTCTGGCAAGTGCAAGGTCGTGAGTTCAATTCCCGGTACTGGAAAAAAAAAAAAAGAACTTCTCTTCGGTCTAAGGGGATTTCATATGTCAAATACTACCCACCTGTAAGGGTTTCCTTCATATACTAGGTGCCTTGCCTGATCCACAGCAGACTTTCACAGCGTAGTGTTGATGTTTCTTATGTCCCTGGAGTTTGTGGGTTTCAAGGTTTGGAGTTTCTTGTTTTCAACTTTTTGTTTTGCTTTTCACTATTTTTTAACCTGAAATGTTTTTTTATTTTGTGATAAATTTATTTATTTATTTGGTTGGTTTTTTTTTTCTGGTACCAGGAATCAAACTCATGACCTTGTGCTTGCCAGGCAGGCTCTGTGCTGCTGAGCTAAATCCCCAGCCTCCTGTGATAAATTTAGAATTATATCCATTAGAAAAAATATTATAAAGATGTCCCATATGCCTTTTACCCAGCTTCCTCAGTGGTAATCTATTGCAGAGTTATAGATAGAACAGTATCACCACTGGGACATTGACATTGATAGTCAAGATGCAGAACACCTCCACCACACCAAGAGTCCTTCATGTTACCCTTTGGTAGGCAAACCCACTTCCTTTCTACCTCTGTCTCCTCCTTAACAGCTGCCAGCCACAACTCTGTTCTTCACTTCTATAATTTCAGTATTTCAAGAATATGAGATGTGTATGTATGTGTGTGTGTGTGTGTGTGTGTTCATATAGTATATGACCTGTTGTGGTTGGCTTTTTTAAAACAGTATAATTCTCCAGAGTCATCTAGGTTGCAGTATGTATCCGTAGTTCTTCTTTAGTGCCAAGTATTACTCCCTGTCACAGATGTACCACAGTGACCAATGACCAACCAAGGTCACTGGGATTCTTTCCAGATGTAAGCTATCATTAGTAAAACTATTAGAAACATATGTATGTAGAGTTTTATGGGACAAACATCTTCATTTCTGTTTCATAAATTTCCACATGGTAGGTAATATAGTAGTTGCATGTTTAATTTTTTAAGAAACTGCCAAACTTTTTTCCCTAATGGAAAATACACACAGTATGAATGTTCCAATTTCCCAACACCCTCATCAGCATTGGTGTTGCCATTGGTTTTTAAGCGAGGGTGCATTTTGATAGGTATACAGCAATCTCTTTTGTGATTTTAATTTGCCTTTCCCCAATGACTAGTGGAATTCCTATATAGCTTTTCACATAATTATCTACCACCTATATATCCTCTTCACTGAAATGTGTCTTCATGTCTTTTACCCATTTTCGAACCAAGTTACTTTTTTGCTGTTGAATATTGAGAGTACTTTCTATATTCTAGGTATTGTATAGTTTATTACTCAATGATGTGGCATACAAATATTTTCTCTCACTCTGTAGCTCGTTTTCATCCTCTTAAAAGGGTTTGCATTTTTTTTTTTTCATTTCAGTGAAATTGTATTAGTCAGCTTTCCCACTGCTCAGGCAAAATGCCTGACACCCACCTGGTATAGGAGGAGAGGTTTATTTGCCTCTCGATTTCAGAGGCTTCCGTGCACAGTCAGCGAAGGATCTGGCAGAGAAAAGCTGTGCACTTTATGGTGGCTGGAAAGCAGAGCACAGGAGAAGAGAACTAGAGAAGGGACTAGAGACCAGATATGGTCCCAAGGCCACAACCCTATGACCCACGCAGAGACGCCCAGAAGTGTGCTGTACTAATCTCCTAAGCCAATCAGGTTGACTGGGGAGTTTAACCATCTAGAAATTCAGTTTATTAATTCTTCCTTTTATGGATCGTGCTTTTGGTATCAAGTCTAGAAACTCTTTTGATCTAGTCCTGTGTCCTGAAGATTACCGCCTCATTTTTTGAAGCATTATAATCGTATAATTAACATTTAAGTCCCTGAACCACTTTAAATTAATTTCTGTATAAGATATATCCAATCATTTTAGCATTGTGTCAACTCATTGTTGACATCTGATGATGGTCTTTTTATATTCAACTTGAGATCTTGATTCTTATTATAATGAATGGTTTTCATTGGAGATTTAAACATTTCTGTACTATAAGAGTCTGCATTTTATTTAAGCCATCTGATTTAGCTGGCGCTGTGTGATATCACTTGCCTGTAGAAGGAGAGGATGTCAGCTTATTACTGCCAGGTGGAGGTAGAAGCCCAGGTCTTCTGCTGTTCTTACTGACACCTGAGAGAAGAGGGCTCCCTGTGATGGGGGGTAGGGATGGAGAGCTCTGGCCCTGCACCTGATCTCTACTGACGCCATCCTGGGAGTGGCCTTAGTAATTGTAGAGCGGAAATGAATTCCTGACTCTCCACCGGGCCTCCTCTGATGTCGCCCAGTGGAGAAGGGAAAGTGTGACTTGTTCTGCCAGTGGGTTAGCAGTCCCAGCTCCCCGTATTGTATTCACTGACACTGCCCATTGGGGGTGAAGGCACCTGCTCTCCATCAGACTTCCTCTGGCAAAGCTCAGGGAGAGCTGGGAACCTGGTTACAGCTTCATGCGGGTAGAAGCTTAGCCTTGCGCTTCACTTTGAAGATGTGTCAGTGAAGCCAGATTTGTAGTGTTTAGCTAGAGTAGAACAGTTATTACTAAAACTGCTATCTTCCTAGCCTCCTCCTTTCCCGGTCCTTTGGTGTGGAGTAGGCTTCTATCAGGGCTTTTCCAATGGAAAATTAAAACGTTGGTATTTCAAGGTTGCCTCCCTCTTCTGCTCCTAGTCTAGGATATGCGAGACAAAAAGAGAACCTAGAGAACTCGGCACCATGTCCTTCCTTGAGTTCAGCGTTTCCCAGCCAGTCCTCTCTCTTTTCAGTCTCCCGTGTGTTCTCTAACACCCAGTTTGTTAATTGTGCTCAGCAGGAAGGTGGGGAGAAGTCCACTTGCCCTTTCACCCAGAAGAGGAAGGAAGTCCCCTTCGTTGTGTTCTTCATAATAACATTTTTAACCACTTAAAAAGCTTAGACAATTCTGAAATTATAACAGCACGGCAAACAGAATTGTGGGAAATGCTAGACAGGGCCAAAGGCTGCCTGAGGTCACAATTGACAGTACTTTTTCAAACTGCTTGTGTCCATGTGGCAGGTGTCTTGCACTCCTGTCTGTGGGGCGTGTGTGGTCTTTAGACCATCACAGTGTAATTCATTACCAGTACAAGGGAAGAGACCAAAGAAGGCAGAGCCTCTTGGTGGTGATGAGGAGCATGGGCACACAGGTGACCATACTGCAGACTGTAGAAAAATCACATCAAGTCCTTCCCCACACAGCCCTGTGGTGCCTGTTACGTGTGAGAAACTCCTAAAGGTCTGTGAGGTAGAGTTTTTCAGGAAACACATGCAAATTATTTGGCATCTTTGGTCTTATGCTTTAAGACTTCCTCAGGTAGTTGCGGTTTGATTCCTACTTCGCTGTTTCATTGACTGTAGGGTGTTGCTCAAGTTACTAATGTCTCTATCTCGGTCTCTTTGTCTTTGAAAGAGAAAATAGTTGTTCATATACCAAAGTTAATGTGAGGATTTCATCGAATTTGTGAAAATCTTTCAACACCCTGTGGCCTGATGAGTCAATTTTAGTCATTAGTTATTATAGTAACATTAGTGGGCACATTAATACGATGTTGAAGAAGTGATAGTTACAGCATTGTGGTCATAACTAGTTCGGTGGTGAGAAGTATGCGCTGGTCATTCAGACAGTCAGTTTTTTCTGGACATTGAAGATCTGTCTAATACCCTCCTCATTTTGTCCCAGAGAACAGGCTTGCTAAACTAAGACTCTTTACTTGGCAGTCCTACTTGGAGCATATTC